AAAAGGGCTACAGATAAAAGAATATAGGTCCACTTTATGAGGATATCTGGGTTTCTAAGGGGTGATGAGTCCTAAGCATAATAAAGTAAGTTGTAGCCAGAAACTCCATTTTCCATACTTACTGTTTATGAGAAGACTAGTATCTGAAGAGAACTGACATTACCAATACAGTGAAAAGAAAGATTAATATAAAAAAAAGTATCAAAGAAACAGTCAAGTATTATTGACAAAAATGGATCAGAGAAGGAAAATTAAACCAAAATACAGGTTATTTAAAAAAAAAAGTAATTCAAGAATATTGTCTCCTCTGGGAATATCACCCATTAGGTTCAAAACTGGTAGACACAGAAGAGATTATCTAATCTTATTTGAAATAAGAAAATAAGAGGACAAGGTACATATGCTAATTTGAGTTTGGCATTGAGATGACATAGGTTTACTCTAAATGCCTTTGGAATCATTTTTCATTCAGAGACAATCCTAACTATGCTCTAGCTTACATTTCTTTCTCCCTAGGTTTCTTTCTATTCAGCAGTTAATGAGTAGGTTGGAGATATATATATATATATATATATATATATATATATATACTTATATATATATGGCAAAAGAAGTAGGAAACAGCATGAATTAGTCCAAGGTTGACTGGATCATCTACTTTGCCTAAAATTGTTCACTGAATCAGCAGAGCCCGCAGTCACCACCAGTGATTCATCCATCAGATCTGGAGCCTCTGTTCACGGACTTCCAACGCACCAGGAACGCTCTGCTAATACACTGAAGCAGAGAGCAGTGATGCTACATAAACAGAAAAAGAAGTTTAACTAAAAACCTCACAAGTTAAACCTTTCCACCCATTTTGGGGTTCTACTTTCCTTTAGACACATATCTGTAGCTATTAAGTGATATTTTAACTTTTACTTTTCAAAGAAAATATGTAAAGAAAGGCAACATTGTCAGAAATGCAATTATTTTATATAAAAAATCAAATGATATCATAAAAGGAGAACAATGCTATAAAGCAAAGGAGATGAATGGGTGTATGCTGCTTTATAACTGAAATTCCTACTGATGCATTAAGAATGAATGACAGACATTGTGTTTGGTGGTAGGGACCCAAAAGTTGAAAATAGTTTCTATCTTTGAGGTGTTCACAAATCAGAGGAAGATGTAGAAAAGTAAGAAAGCATGCATGATATGCATGACATGGTGGTATAAATGCTGCAAGAGAAGGATGCATGACATATGATGAGAGAAAAAAGAAGAAAAATTTAATCCAGAGGGAAGTGGTCAGGGAAGACTTCATATAATGCTAGTTTTTAAGCTGAGTTTGGAGGAGGAAGAGGAACTGAACAGACCAAAAAAAAAAAAAAAAGAAAAAAAAAGAAAGAAAAGAAAAGGAAAAAAAGCACCAAGATTATTCCAGGAAGTGTTAGAAACTTCTTGAGCAGAGCATGGAACTGTGAGCATATAGGATGGATTCAGAGAACTGGAATTAATTCAGTAATCCTCAAGTAGTGTGCAAAGGGAGCATAGTGACCCCTGAGATTGAAGATTTAATCAGGGCACAGGTCAGGCCAAGTTAAGAATGAAAATAGTGAAACATGAGAAAATTTAATAGAAGGAAGACAGTTAACACAGTAGGAATTCAGGGAACATGTCCTTTCATTTATTCAACCAACATACTGTGTACAAGTACTTTTCTATGTGCAGGGGTACAAGCACCAACAAGAGTCAAAAATTCATACCCTTCTTCAGTTTATACTCTAGTATGCTCTTGTAGGTATTATGCTGGGGTTACTCCATTATTTTGTACGTAGCCCTGAGGATCCATCTTAAGTATGACTGGAAATTCCCTGAAAGGAGCTGGAATTTTTTCAGCTGCCTAAATTTTGGAATTCAATAGCAGGATGTCAGGCTAAATTTGGATTAGTTTAGGGGTTGAGGTGACTAGCTCCACAGAGATGGGAGAGAAAAGTGAAGTTGAAAGACAATGGTTCATTCAAGGAACCAGAAAATTGGATGATGATGACGACGATGATGAATGAGAAGAACTTCTCTGAGAATAAGAAAATGAGAGGATGGTATAAACTGAATGTTATAGTTTAAAATGGTTTAAAACAATTTAAGCTTACTAAAGCTTAAGATTTTAGAGGCTGGCCTTTCAAGTTGTAATAGAATATTGCTTGTCTCTTAAAAATTCATAATTCATACAATAAATATGAAGTGGTAGCAAAGCCAAAACAAAAAATATATATTTTACATATGTATACAATACACATAATATAGATCAACTATGCATATGAATAACCATTAAAATTCTAAATAAAATTCTGTAAGACTAATTTTAATATATTATAATATCTCATCATTATTAATTAGTTTATAATGAGAATTCTGGTATTTTCAGTATTAGAAAATCTCTATCACATCAACAAGTCAAAAGTTCCCAATCTTATTAATAAAATCCTCTTAGGGAACCTGGGTGGCTCAGTTGGTTAAGCGACTGCCTTTGGCTCAGGTCATGATCCTGGAGTCCCGGGATAGAGTCCCGCATCGGGCTCCCAGCTCCATGGGGAGTCTGCTTCTCCCTCCGACCTTCTCCCCTCTCATGCTCTCTCTCTCTCTCAAATAAATAAATAAAATATTTTAAAAATTAAAAAAAATAAAATCCTCTTAAATGGATACACAAATTATATTTATGGATAAAAACTAGGGGATTCAACATTAAAATTTGGTGGCTGAAAATCTAAGAAAGCCCACTTTTTTTTAGATTTTATTTATTTGACAGACAGAGATCACAAGTATGCAGAGAGGCAGGCAGAGAGAGGAAGGGGGAAGCAGGCTCCATGCTGAACAGAGAGCCTGATTGAGGGGCTTGATCTCAGGACCCTGAGATCATGACCTGAGCCAAAGGCAGAGAGTTAACCCACTGAGCCACCCAGGCACCCCTTGACCTTGTATTCTAACTCTTCAGCACATAATTGAAGAGGCTGGATTCCTACCAGCCCATTTTAGACATTAGAATTTCTGGGCAAAATAGTAAGCTAAAAAAAAAAAAAAAAAGAGAGAAGAAAGATAATAATTATTACTATTTTTAACTAATCTCAACATCTATGAAGAAAATTTCAAACTCTTTAAACCAACAGAAGATTTCAGTAACCTTGTTGGATTTGTTTCCCATGCTTAAATCCTTTGACACAAATTTGTTATCCAGTAATCCATTTCACAAAATCAATCATGGTTATGATCAAGTATTATAGTCAAGTATGTCTTTTACAGCACTATCAAAAGAAAAATAGAAAATAACATAAACACTCAGTAATAGGAGAGATTTTATTTTACCACAATATTTTTGAAGTCAGTATAATAACATGAAGGAAGAATACAGAGATACTGAGTAAAACAAACAAACAAAAATCGATATACAAAAGTACATATATGTTGTGGTCCCAGTTTTGGAATTGATATATAGAGAGAAGGGGTAAGCTGTTGGGGGTAATAATTATGCCATGAATAATTAAATTTTGAGGTATAAGATTATAAGCAATTTCTCTAATTGCTAAAATTTCTGTAACGTAGAAAAAACAATAAAATACAAAAAAGTAGTTTACTTATGCCAAAAAGGTAGGCCAAATCAAAGATACTTCCAGCAACCCTCCAAGAACCCTCAAGTTCTTGATCTTCACTGCTGTACTGGATTGGTATTATGCTCCCTGACTCATTTTGTACCTCCCATGTCTTAACACATTGCCTGACACATAGCATGCATCCAGTCAGTCTTTATTGAATATTTGAGCTATCAAGGAAAGAAGTACTTCCACTTGTATCTCCTCTCTCAATTTCTGTCCAAATTACGCAAAACTTGACTTCTTTTCAGTTGTAGCTCAGTGTAGTAGGAACTCCAGTCTACCAAACTAAAGACTGTATATAACATGATCAAACTACATGAAATATATATTTTTACTTAAATGAGATACAAATTTAGATGGAGACAAATGAAATTGCAGAGCTCCCTCTTTCATTTAACGTGCTCAAGCGCACATAAAGTATCAAGAAGTGTGACAGACGCTGAGATAGACAGGCATAGGAATCAGGCTTTTGAGCATTTCAAAATCAAATACGGGAGATGGAGACAAGTCACAAACTCAGTGTCACATGATAAAGTCTACAACGAAGTAAAACCAAGGGCACCATGAAAGCACGGGGAAAGCAGTATGTGAGCTTCAATTTGGATAAAAGGGGAAGAAAATGCACTATGATGCCTGGGGAGAGGTCAGTAAAAGTTTATAAAATAGGTTTTCTCTGAGAAAAGGAGAACGAGAAGAACAAGTCTACATCACATAAAAAGAACTGTGCCCTGTGTCTCCAATGACCTTTACTCACTGGGCAGCATAGCACTACAGTAAGCAGGATCCTTCGTGAGACTCTGGTTTGGAGACATGCTAGAATATTAACCCGAAACAGTCAACATTTTAGCTCACATTCAGATATGCTATCAACCTGTTTCACTTTTATTGGGCAATGATATGTTTTAGAAAGTTCATTACATTGGCACACAAATGTTCAACAGTGGTCACTCTAGAAAATAAAACCGTACCCTGTGAAACAAACACAGCATAAGGACAAACAAAATAAGAACATTTTCTAAATTTTTCCCCCCCAAAGATCAGATTCCGTTAGAACTTTAGTATATTCCACTAAATTTGCTATTTGGCTTTTTCACCCTTTCCAGTCATCAAAATCACTGTATTTTTAAAAACTTAAGTGATCTGAGATAAGAATGAAAAGGAGCTCTAATACCACCCAAAAAAAGAAATCCAGTTCTGCTTTGTGAAACCTACAACATTTGTGCAACTTCTGCCATTTATAAGAAATAGAAACTCCAGTATGGATTCACAAAACTCACTAAATGCATCGACAGCACTAGTTATAAGGTAGCCTGTTAGTTTCAAAACCCTCGTTGGAGGGTCTTCTTTTTCCTTGCTCGGCCACTGCGGCTCCTCACTGGGCAGCAGGAGCGGCGCGGCGGTCGAAGAAGCGGTCTAAGACTTCGGCATTGGGTAAAAGAAAATGGCCCGAACCAAGCAGACTGCCCGTAAATCCACGGGTGGGAAAGCGCCCCGCAAACAGCTGGCCACTAAAGCGCCCGGAAAAGCGCCCCTTCCACCGGTGGGGTGAAAAAACCTCATCGCTACAGGCCCGGCACCGTCGCGCTTCGGGAGATCCGTCGTTACCAGAAATCCACCGAGCTTCTGATCCGGAAGCTGCCTTTCCAGAGGTTGGTGAGGGAGATCGCCCAGGATTTCAAAACCGATCTGAGGTTTCAGAGCGCCGCCATTGGCGCCCTTCAGGAGGCCAGGGAAGCGTACCTGGTGGGTTTATTTGAAGATACTAATCTGTGTGCCATCCACGCTAAGAGAGTCACCATCATGCCCAAAGACATCCAGTTGGCTCGCCGGATACGGGGAGAGAGAGCTTAAGTGAAGGCAGTTTTTATGGTGTTTTGTAGTAAATTCTGTAAAATACTTTGGTTTAATTTGTGACTTTTTTTGTAGGAAATTGTTTATAATATGTTGCATTTGTACTTAAGTCATTCCATCTTTCACTCAGGATGAATGCGAAAAGTGACTGTTCACAGACCTCAGTGATGTGAGCACTGTTGCTCAGGAGTGACAAGTTGCTAATATGCAGAAGGGATGGGTGATACTTCTTGCTTCTCATGATGCATGTTTCTGTATGTTAATGACTTGTTGGGTAGCTATTAAGGTACTAGAATTGATAAATGTGTACAGGGTCCTTTTGCAATAAAACTGGTTATGACTTGATCCAAGTGTTTAACAATTGGGGCTGTTAAGTCTGACCATACATCACTGTGATAGAATGTGGGCTTTTTCAAGGGTGAAGATACAAGTCTTAACCACAGTGTAACTTACAGTTTCCTTAAAAAAAAAAGAAAAAGAAAAAGAAAAAAAAAAAAAGTAAACCTGGCAGCTATAGAATACACTATGTGCATTTATAATAGCTATTTTATATATTGTAGTGTCAACATTTTTAAATTAAATGTTTTACATTCACATGTGGTGCGGAGTCTTGTCATTAAGGTGTGTGTAATTTAAAGTCAAGTTGGTTTTCTCCTAACTAGACTGCACTTGTTTTCATAATAGTAAAATGCTTTGCAAATTAAAAAAAAAAAAATCATTGCAAGAAAAAAAAAATCATTGCAAGAAAAGGTTCACAGTGAAATTTAAATGTCTATCTAAGACAATGGCAAACCTAGGCTAGACTTTGCAGGTGTTTATTGAGGCCTTTACCTCGGTGACATCCACATCTCTGTGATAACTGCTCCCACCTGAAGCCCAATTTCTAACATGAACCTCCCCCCGCCTTTTTTAAAAAAGATTCACTTATTTATTTGAGAGACAGACAGCACACATGAGAGCTCGTGAGCCAGGAGGGGTAGAGGGAGAGAGAGAATCCTAGGTAGGCTCCGTGCCCAGCACAGAATTATATCAGTGCCTAGCACAGAGCCCAACACTGGGCTCGATCTCACAAACCTGGGATCATGACCTGGACTGAAATCAAGAGTTGGACGCTTAAGCCACTGAACCACCCAGGTGTCCCTTACATGAGCCCTTTAATAACACCCAATGTTCTAAACTGAAGGATATTACAAATAGCAGTCTAAAAAAATTAGTTTACAAATCTGAAACTCAATTCCTGTTTTCTTAAAGCCTCTATTTTGTTAGGTTTAGGTAAAAACCTAAGAAGTAAACAGGTGAAATATTATCACTGGCTTTAGATAAGGAATGTCTGGAGTGATGAGACTCTTTTTATTAGCAAGAGAATCGATACTGTCTAAGCGCGTACTTCATGGGCTGCATGCAAGGATTTACAGTGATTCTGTCTGGCTCCCATGGAAATATAGCTGTTTTAGTCAATAAAGCTATAACAAAAAGATCATGGACTGGGTGACTTAAACAACAAACACATGTTCATCATAGTTCTAGATGCTGAGAAGTATAAGATCAAGGCACTGGCAGAGTTGATTTCTGCTAAGACTACTCTTGTGCTTCACAGATGAGTCTGCACTCTGTCTTCATAGGGTGAAGAGAGCTCTGTACTTACATCCCTTTACAGAGGCAGTGGTCTCATCATGGGGGCGCTACCTCCTATATCCCATCTAAACCTAATTATCTCCAAAGGTACCACATTCAAATACCATTATATTGGGATTAGGCTTCAAAATATGTATCTGGAGACACACAAATGTTCAAATCCAGAGAACAAGAATGGAGTCTCAACTCAATCTTAGTTGCTCTAAGCTTCCACTCTTATAAAACAAAATATAGGTCTTTAGCTTTTATAAAGATAACTGGTTGTAAATTATTAGATAAAATGGAGTTAACTATGTAGGCAAGGAGGAACACTGAAAACATCTCACATTCTCCTCCAGAAATATGGTAATTGTCTTAAAGGACCAGTTACTTAAAAGCCCTCGAGCTCTCTGCATAAAGAATTTTTTTTTATTCCTTCTTTTAATCTAGCAGTCTCAAACTTCACAGTGCATAAGAATTACTCTACAGAATTTTACACATAAAACAACATAGAACATACTATATCTGACTCTATAATCTAACTGTATAATAGAATGCCCCATGATACTGACTCGGGAAGATATCCTTGTTGCAAAAAGAATCCTAGAGCCTCCAACCAAGAGCAGTTTACTTATTGTAAGTCTTTTTTTTTTTTTTTTTTTTACCAAACCTCCAACTTCCAGAGAGAAAGACAAAGAATGCAAGGTTACATGTTTGTCTGTCTGTCTGTCTATGTCTTTCTTTCTCTCTCTACATATATATATCCAACCCAATATATAAATGTTCCCATCACTCATTTGCCAGCAAATCCTCAAACGCTTCAATCTATCCTCTCCATTCAAAGGAATTATCAATAGTTGTTCAGTCTATTTGATTGCTTATCAAATAGTTTCAAAAAAGACTGAGTGGAAATAATTAAAAATGCAACTACGTCGGTTTATAAAGTTTTTAGGCATTAGAGCCATAAATATTTGGACTTTGGTCTTTTGAAGTATCTTTCACCTCTCTTTGGAGATTGCGGGTCTGAGATTTGATAAGAACACGAGCCGAAAGTCAGAAAGAGGAGTTCAGGGGGCCTGGGTTAAGGCAAGAATAGAAAGGATGGAGAAAAAGAACATTAGGGGCACCTGGGTGGCTCAGTGGGTTAAGCCTCTGCCTTCGGCTCAGGTCATGATCCCAAGGTCTCTGCTCAGCGTGGAGCCTGCTTCCCCTTCTCTCTCTGCCTGCCTCTCTGACTACTTGTGATCTCTCTCTGTCAAATAAATAAATAAAATCTTTTAAAAAAGAAAAGAAAAAGAAAGTTAAGGAGGCAGAACAGACCAACTGGGGAAGAGGTTTGAAAGAAGATCGAGGGATCTGTGAGGTAAAATAGCTGACTCCCAGGATCCAGGCTCATGTGATTCTCGGGACAATTCTAGCATGATCTGAGACCGTGTGGGTGTGTTGCTTAACAATAGAAACAACTATCCTAAATACAAAGCAAAGTTCTCACTATTATCTTTTTGGTTCCCATGGTCCTGAGATAATTAATATATTTTAGTTAGGAGAGCTTCTTTGAGAGATCATAAATACACAAAAAATAAAAATTAAGGGTGCTTTCTGATTTGGGGGAAAGAGAATGAATGCTATGTCAGAGGTAGTAGTTGTGAGGCCATGCCAAGCCTCAGGTTCTGAAAGGAGAAGAGGCAAACATTCCAGTATGCAGTGACATGACTTTCCTCTCAGGGAATCCATAGCTGAGAAGTGGTAGTTATACATATGGGAGTAAAAACAAGGTTTTCTTCACCAAAAGATCATAGCCAATATGATAAAGAAAAAAGATTCAAAAATTAGGAAGCACCTAATAGTAGCTTCCAGTAGGAAGCTACTGGAAATTGTGTTGTTCCCACAAAAGGCAGATAGCAAAATGAGACTGAAGGAGGAAAGATGCCTATATGACCCCAGAACACACTCCAATCACATTAGGTAAAGATTCCACAAATATTCAGAATTATGTGTCTCTTTAAAACCTAATACAGAGTGCATTTCATTTGAAAATAGAACTGTAATAATTTCTTGATTATATAGCTACAGATTACACACATGTGAGTTACTATACTCTAATAAATACTTTCATTTTTCAGTTAATTGACTTGTTGGCCCACAATACTCTATTTAACCCAATTCTGTGTCCTGACTGAACTGACCCACAAATCTCTTAGCTGCCCTAGAAAAGGTCTCTATAGGCAACGGACAGCATCGCCTCAGAAGTTTGAACTAAAAAAGTAGAAGATTCATTTAAGTCAGCAAAGTGTTACTAACAAATTCTATTTTAAAAGTTAGATTGGACATAGGACCTTATTCATAAATTCATAAGATGTTAAGGAAAATCTACAGATGGGTGGGGTCAGATACCGAGGCTAACAAAAATGATCATTCCTTGGGCTTGGAAAATACCAATCCACTCTGCTCACAAATAAGAATTTTATATATAAAAAAAAAAAGAAAAAAAAAGAGAAAAAAAATTTATATATGCACAAAAGCACACACAAACAGGCACACTTTAATTACAGATTTCTTCTTAATTCATTAATTCTATAGTTATGGAACACTGCCTAAGGCCTGACATGCGATAAGATCTTTGCATCGACAGGCACATCTATCTGTCCCTTTCGCCTTTCTACCTTGCATTTAGCACAGATGTAGAGTCAACTTATTTTTATATGCTTCGGTTATCTGATGTCAGAAACTGATTTATACTTACAAATTCCCATTCTGGATTCCAACTCAGAATGGGCCTGTGTAATGAGTCTATAACATATCTACAAAAACATATCAACAAATATATTATTCTTGTTAAATTTTGTACCTGTATGGCTACTTTTGCTGTTCGATAAATAACTACTGTGTAGCCTACACAAATAACCTTTGAGATGCTTTTTTTTTTCTGTTACCTTGAGCACCTGAAGGTAAGGGAGGTGGCAGAGATGAGAAATCTTCCCCTTACTTTCTTATTTCCTCTTATTTTCAGCATATGGTTCTCTTACAAAAACATGGCTGCTATCTTAAAACCTCATCTCATTCTATATATATTTAATACAACACTTACAATGTTCTGATTCAGAGAAAGTAATCCTAAAAGACATTTAAACTAGCAGGGGGAAATGGTAAGGCAGACCAAAAAAAAAAAAAAAAAAAAAAAGTACTGTCAAAAATGATAGATCTGAAATTTAGAACCTTAGAAAGAAATAGGCTGGGAAAAGCAAAAATGGTATCGTTTAGCCTCCTAGTAAAATCAATATGTCTTTTGGATTGAGGGGAAAAAAGGGTAACCAAGTTGTTTGACAGTAAAAGGTGGAAAAGAAAATTGTCTGCAGTGAAAGTGGTTAGCAAAGCACTCCAAGTAGTTGTACAATTAGGTTTTCTTTGCAATAAATTCAAGTACTAGTTATATCTACTCACATACATCTTTGTTTAATGTTTTGGAAGCATTCAGATATTCCTTACGTTGAGTATATATTGAATATTTTAAAACTTTATCATGGTAAGATAAAGTAGACCTAACAGAAAGATACATACGACTTAACAACTCAGTTCAAGACCTGCAAAACTGTAACCACAGCTCACTTCAAGATAGAACTTTGCCACTCATCCTAGAGCCTGCTTCCATGGGCCACCAACCCCTTCACAGTCCTCCTCTCCCTCTTAAAGTGATCACTGTCTGACTTTAATTGTAATCCCTAAATATACTTACGTGAACAGTATAATTTTATTTGCTCATTTTAAAATCTTGTTACATCATTCAAGTTGGGGTTTTTTTGTTTGTTTGTTTGTTTGTTTTATCAATAGTTTCCTTCCAGGATAGTTTTCTTTTCCAGG